TTATTTAATTATTTATTAAATTATGAATAAAATATAAGTTTTGATTTTTTCCAATTATTTTTGATCCATACTGTATAAGTAAAATTAGAAATATAAATTATTTTGATTTTTTTTTTAAACTAGACTATATACTGTATTTAAAATATATATTATTTTGGAATAATATTTAATTATAATTTAAAAATTTAAAGAAAACAATTTATTTTTTACTAATTTTATAAAATATATATTGTATATATTCTATTATTAAATAATTTGATTAAATAATTTAACTTGTTATTTATTATAAATTTTATTATTTAATTTTTTAAAAAATAATTTTTTATTTTAAAAAATAATTTATTTATTAATGTATTAACAATATAAATTAATTAAATATAATTATAATTAATATTAGTTTGTTTATATATTTATATCTAGCTAATATTAAAAATAAATTTATTTATTTATTTATTTTTTAAGTTGGCTAAGAATATTAAATGCAAGATTTTATTTATTAATTAATAGTATTGTTATTACATCAAATATCTTTATAGATTAAATTATATTATTCTAAAATATAAATTAATATTATCTAATAATTACTATTTCCAATAGTACTGGTTTCCCAAAGTTCAATCCAACTACTCTATTTGGCCAACTTGCATCAAGTAAATAGATTTATATTAGATAGAACTTATATAAAATGGAAGAAATCCTTTACTAGTTTAAATTTATTATTCTATTGATTCAATCATATTTTTTGACTGCTTGCTGAAAGAAAATTATATGAAATATTATTATAAAAATTAACTCCAGTATTCCGGTCACTGTTATTATTTATCTTCAAAATATGCTACTAGCATAATGTCATACTATCATTTTCACCATCTGTGAAACTGGCATTCTTACTTGAATTCCAATTTAATCTTAAAGAATCCTTAATAAACTCACTTGATATTACCAATTTTTGTTTAGATTGTCATTATCTGTAACAAATAACTTTTGCCTTTTCCATCTATTTTAAGTTTTAAAGAATATCACAATTGGAATAGATCTTCAAGATTCAGATTAGAATAGATCAGCTTAAAATTAGTTTTTCATAATTTTTGACAAAGTCTACCATCACTAATTTTAATTAAAATTTGTGAACTTGTTGTTTGAAATTAGATACTTAATATAAACATATATTTTATTTTTTAAAATTTTTATTTTCTGCTAATAATAACTAGTATTGGGTTTTCTATAATTTTTTAACTAGTTATTAACTTTTATTAATTTTTATATTCAAAAATATTATATTTAAAAAATTTATTAAAAAATCAAAATTAATTTACTCTTATTAAAAATCTATAATTTACAAATTATTAATTATATTTTATGTTACTTTTTTATTTTAAAACAATATATTAATCCTATTTTATATTATAATAATAATTAAAATATTTAAATAATAATATATTAAAATTTTATTATACAGATTTTAATAATAATACAATAATAATAATTTTATTTAAAAGTTTTTTTTTTAATTATTAGAAAAATATTAATTCCTAATACATAAATAGTTATTTTTATAATTTTTTAAAATATGGTTTTAATAAAATATATTTATTATTAATAGGTTAATATTTATAATAATATATTTAATTTAATATATCTCTATTATTATAAATTTTATATTAAATTATTTATATAAAAATTAAATTAATAATTAATAAAGATACAATTTAAGCAAAAAAAAATAACAATTAACAAAAGATTAATCAAGATTTCAAGTTTAATAATATTTTATTTAAATTTAATAATTTATATTAATTAGAAATACAATTTAAAGTAGTTATTAGAAAATATAAAATTTTTCATTAGATCTTCTTTGGTTCTATAATTATATATAGTTAAAATATTTTATTTTATTAATTGATATATATATTAATTAGAAGTTTTTATTAAAACAAAAATAAAAAGATATTTATTTGTTAAATATATAATACAATAGAAATTATTAAATTATAATAGAATTAATATTAGTTTATATATTTATAAAACTTTAATTGAAAATGTTTAATTTAAATTTTATATTTTTAAAAAATTACAAATAATTTAACATGTTTTGAAAACTACAATAATAATAAATTCCAAAACAAATTTTGAAATATAAAATTTTTATACTTATTATACTTTATTAAATAAATAATAATATATGATTAAGCAAGATATACATATTTTATAAACAAAAAAAAAACAATTTATTTTTTACTTATAGATTACAAAAATACAATATTAAATAATAAATAATCAAAATTCTTAATAAGAAAATTAATTTACATAGTAACAAGAAAACAAAATATTAATTAAATAAAAAATTCTAAATATATATTAATTTTTAAAGTATTAAAACTTTAAATTCAAGTATTAAAGATACTATTATATATATAATTATTATAATAATCTAAAAATATAAAAAAAACAAACATATAAAACTGTATTAGAAATTATTATTAAAAATTTAAAAATACTTATAACAAATATAAATAGCAAGATATTAAAAACAGATATTTATATATTGTTAACAAATACATAATAAACTATATTAAATACTTATCTAATATAGAAAAAATATTTATATTTATCTTTATTTTAAGGATATTAGTAATACTTTAGCAAATTAATTATAAGAAAATTCTAATGTTTTGTTTTACAAGACAGGAAACAAGTCACATGATAGAGCAGTTCTAATAAGTTTACTTTTAATTTAAAAAAGTTATAAACATTTCTTATAATTTTTTACATATATACAAAATACGTATATATTTAACTATTATTTAATAAAGTTAAATAAGACATACTTATTCAAAAAAAAAATTCTTTGATAATTTATTATAATAAAAATATTTATTGAAAATTTAAACAAATTATCTTATAATTATATATTAAAATATTTATAATATATAGCATGTAAAAATTATTATATAAAAATTAAAAAATTAATTGAAAAGATAAGTAAATCAATTAATTATTATTATTATTTTAATGCTAAATTTAACTCCTATTTTATACTTCTATAAATTCAGCTTTATGAATCAACATCCAATAAGTAGATAAGTTCACATCAAGTAATCTTTACTAGAGATAAAATAATTCTGCTGTCAGTTTAGACTAACTAATCTAGGATAAATCGGTTAATTAATCATTATTGACATTTAATTAAGTTTGTTTTTAATATATAAATTTTTATTGGTGGTTTTGCTATTAGGGATTCAAGGATCGCGTACAAATTTAGAAATAACTTGCTGACGGGTGTTCTGCAATACTTACAGTTTAGCTTTAATATAATACCATGTATATTGTATTACTGTTTTCAAAGATCAATAAACGCTCAGAATTGCAATCTGATTAGAGACAAAAAAAAAAAAATTTTTTTTATTTACTGTATTAACGAATCTATATAATTTTATTTTTAAAATTCGAAAATATTTAATAAATAAAATTTTTTCCAGAAATCATTGAAGCAACATCCGATTATGCGAACCTATGCGATCCATCCAATTTATATAATTAATATACAGAATTAAGAAACTATCCGGGTACAAGGTTAATTGTTTGAACATGTGTGCAGATTTGCTTTCACGACGGATCAAAATTTTTATTAAGGATGTTGCCGAATACACATGTATTACATTGAAATATATTGGTGCGTAATAAGATACGAGGTTTTGTTTTTCTTATTTTCGCCATCATTAAATAGAAGTTTGATTTGAAAGCGAAAGTCGTTTGTAATAAATTTACATCGTCATTTCTTACACCAACTTTCCTTTCATTTAATATCACATTCCTTTCGACCCGAGTTACCTTTATTTTCGGTTAAGCTATCAGGAATCATTTGTAGAAATGAAACATACATACATCCTAGTCATCGTATTGCTTGCATCTATCCCAATAATAGCATTTGCAATAAACCCGCAACCATCAATAAAACCGCAACCATCATTAATTAGAATACAATTGATTCGACGTAATGTCTCTTCCACTCCACAAATTGTTAAGAATTCAATTAAAAGAAATGCCATTATGATGATAAATTTGCATAAGCCGGTGCATAAAAGAGCATCATTAGTCAGTACGTCAAAGATTAGTTCAACTTCCACAAAAATTACTACTTCCGCAAAAACTAGTTCTTCAACAAAAAAAAGTTCTTCGGGCGTGTCAACTTCCACGAAAAGCAGTTCTACAATAAAATCCACAAAAACTAGTTCAACGAGTGCGTCAACTTCCACGAAAACTAGTTCTACAAGCACTACTTCGAGTTCCTCGGGACAAATTCAAGCCATTGGTGTCATTGGTATAGCGAATGATGTAGAGGTAAATATCAAGATTTACGAATTTTAATACGATCTTCTTTATGTCTTTATCCAAAATACCTATTCTTTTGAGATATAGTGGGTGGCGCAGATTTCATTAGGGTCAACACAACAGCCGTTCCTCATTGACATTGACACTGGCTCAGCAGATCTTTGGGTTCCTTCTGTAAATTGTGTCGACTGCGGCAATCACAGGATGTTCAACCCCCAAGGAAGCAGTACATATGTCGCACTCGATATACCATTTCAAATTCAATATGCTGATGGGGGTGGCAGTCAAGGACTTGTTGAACAAGTAAGTTATTTTATTGCTCAGCGGTCGTTATCTAAAAGAGTTTATTTTCATACATTTCTAAATAAATAGGATACCCTTCAAGTTGGATATATGAGCGTAAAGAACCAAAGATTCGCCATGATCACCTCTATGAGCTATCAATTTGTAGTGGATGTCGTTGATGGGGTGATGGGATTAGGTGAGTCGCATTTCTATTTTTTAGAAACATATATTAGTCGATTTAGTGAATTCCAACAACATTCTCAAACAGGCTATGATTCGCTGTCGATGATTTCCGGTACAGCTACACCTCTCACCAACATGGTGAATCAAGGATTGATACCACATGCAATCTTCTCGCTCCAACTCCGCCCTGCTCGCATCCAATCATCCTATGGAGGTGAATACGTATTTGGTGGAGTAGACAGTACCCTTTTCACAGGACCAATAACATATACAAGTGTAACGAGGCAATTGTACTGGCAAATTGCAATTGACAGTGTCGAGTTAAATGGTCTGATCGTAGGCGGAAGTAAGCAACAAGTGATAGTGGATTCAGGTTCTGCTTTAATGATTCTCGGGACGAGTGTAGTAAACACTATCATTAAAAAAGTTGGAGGGATGTACGATAGTGTTACCGGCACTTGGCAGGTTCCGTGTAATTTGGCTAATCAAACGAATCCTCCGAAAATTGCCATTAGAATTAATAAAGTCGCGTGGATTATCAATAGTACGTAATTCTTTCTTTCAAATAAAGTCACATGTGCGATTTTAACTAATTTGCTCTTTATAGCCTTAGATATTGTAAGAGAAGCAAGTTCTAATAACTTCTGTTATTCAGGATTAGTATCAACTGATCAAAGCGTAAGTCGAATTATCTTTTTTGATATAATAATATTCATTTTAACATTTTTATTTCATAATAAACCAGGTATGGATACTTGGAGGGGTGTTTCTAAAAAACGTCTATGTAAGTCACATCTTAATTTTGGAAATGGTTAAATGAAAGATAATTTTTATTAATTGAACTTGCCTTTACAAAATACACTTATGTATTTTTTTTATAGGCAGTTTTTGACCGTGAACAAAATAGAGTTGGATTTGCTAAGCCCGTTTATACGTAACTAATTATTTCTAATAATGTATTAAGATTATACGCTTGTGTCGTCTCGAGAATTTTAAAATCAGTGAGAAACTAGAAAGGTTACTTAATTTTCATGTCAGGTATATGTATAAACTAGACAAGTGAATAAAATTGAAACATATGAGAAATCATATCTTGATACTTTAAAAAATTAACATAAGGCATTGATTTTTAACATATAAAATATTGAGTTATGTTATTAAAACGAACAAGTAGTATTTACAAAAAGTTTAATCACATCAATGGCACTAAAATTTTTATAGAATATTACTTAAAATATTTATTTATATTAATGCTAAAAAAAATCACCATTATTTTTAATTGAAATAGTCACAGATACAAATTTTTATTAATAAACTTGTTATTAAATAATTATATCAAATGTTTATATACAGTATATATATATATTTTGTGTTTAACCAGCTGGGTCTTGCCTAACCATGCTTTATTATTTTATTCACATATGTATTTCATGTATTACAGGAACTACTATCTATAAACAATTATACATATCACTAGACTATATCAAATTTACTTCATATTGGCTTGTTGCTGTTAGCGTCACCCAGAGGAGTTGTGCTGAGGCTAATGTGCCAAAGCCCCATTAGTGTTATTATTATATCATTATGTTCTATTTGGCACTGTGGGAATTTTTAAGGAGAAGTTTGAATATGGAGAACTGGAGATAGTACCTATTTTTGGTGAATAAAACCACTGCAGAGAGAATCCTTTTAAATCTGACCACCTGCAGATGAATATACCATTTAATTTCTACCTTCCTAGAGCTATCCAAGAACATTCAAGAAACTTATCTCACAGACTTACTGCCTATAGATTGTTTCAGCTATCAATACTTACTGCTGTTTTGGCTGCCTTCTCAGAATAAGTAACTGTTAGAGCGATCTATTACTGAATTGGAATAAGGTCTTTCCAGAAACTTGCAGGAAGAGACATCAGGTATCACGAGGAAATGATTATCAAGCCATTTTTACTGAAAACAAACACCTCATACATCTTACAACTTCTGATAATTATTATAATACCAACTGGACAATCATTGCATCACAACATCTTTTTTGGAAATCACAATCTCAACATCCACTGGATTAGCATGTGAAATGGCTTCTCATGAAAAACAACACTTATACAAGTTATGGTATCAGATATCGTATTAATTCTATTCAACCACTCTTATATAGGGTTGAACTGATATCTTGTGATTTGACCTGTGGAGTATTAACCACTACACTACAGATCCACATCAGGAAATTTTTTAGCAAAGATCTTTGAAGATCTTTGGACGTAGACCTCCGGAGGACCTCCGTCATTGTTAAAAGACTCCAAAACAAAACTTAATATATTAAATTTTGAAGATCTTTGATTTATTTTAATAATAATAAAATATATTTATATTTATGTATTATATTCTATTAATATTCAATTTTAAA